AGCCTTAATTCCCTGCTTCCCATGGTTGGGCCGGTGTTCAGCCATCTGCAAGAGAGAGGTGCCCCATCATGTGGAACAGGGACTTGGGAAGACAAATGCCAACACTCTGAATATTCCCCCCTTCCTTCTTCTTCCCTGCACTTTTTCCCAAGCATGATGTCACATGGTTTGCAGTATCCCTTTGGTCACTTTGGGTCACCTGTCCTGGCTGTGTCTCCTCCCAACCTCCCATGCACCCCCAGCCTCTTTTGCTAGTGTGGCAATAGGAAGAGCAGGCTCTGTGTAAGCCCTGCACAGCAATAACAAAAACATGTCCATTTTAGTTTTTTTTACGAGTTGCATTCTTGACATGTTGAAGTTTAAACTTTAATCATACAGGGAGGTACAGTAAGAAATAAGTGTGAAACCAAATATCTCAACCTTTGCTGGGCTCTTGGCATTTCTCATTTCATGGTTGTGTTTGGAGGCCCATGCGATAGAATGGGAGACTTCGTAAACTGTATAAATGAGACTGCATCAGAAATGCTGGAAATCTTTCAGAGACTGTAACAGCAGTATTTTGCTCTTAGCATCTGACTCTGGAGAAATGTAAAATGCTTCAAAAATACTAATACTGTTTTTCAGAACACTAAGAAGAAACAGATGGAATAACTTGAACTTCAGGCACTGAGATCATTTTCAGGCTTCTACAGTGTACATTAGGTCATTAGGCAGAAAGCTATTTTGTGTAACAATGCCTTTAATGTGTACTTACCATAAAAGCTATTTCCTGTTGTTCTGTAAAGGCAATTAGCTATTTACCAAATACCAAATTTCATGTCTGTCAATTTCTTATTTCATTGTGCAGCATGAAAAAAGGAAAATGAGAGTCATGCAAATTATTGTCTTGATAAATTCAGCATGTCCTTTACACTCTTAGATTCTTTTCTAAGAAAGATTGAGTTGCACATTTTGTTTATCTCACAGATAATTTGCCAAAGCCCCTCCTTTTTTCTGGACTTGTGCCTTTGGAGATTTTGTATATTACTTTCTCTGTGTATTGTTTTGGTTTTAATGTATGTGTAATATTTAGTTATTCCTGTTCAAGTGTAACAAAGCATATGTATTTCTGTATTTTCCCACACTTTTTTTTTTTACCCCTGATGTCCCCTATTACTTTTGTTCTTGTTCCAGAGTTATGATATTGTATAAGATTCCAGGAATCTCCTCTATATCTTACAATTAGTCACTCTCAAAATTAGGGGGAATCCTAAAGCTTCTGGCCAGTAGCTGAATTAGTTCAGCCCACGAAAGATGCATTTGAGTTTGCATTGTAATAAATGTGTGTGCATTACTTAGAGATCACTCTTAATGCGATATTCCAGAGGTTATAGTGCTTCTCAAATTGTGGGCACTGCATTCCCTGTGTGCCAGTTTCGGTTACAGACAGGAAGGAGGATTGCAAATTCTCTGAAGCTGCAGGAATAAACAGAAATCTCTGCAAATAATTTTCATTGCAAGTGTCTCCAGTGCGAATCCTTGAATTACCAAGGAGTATAAAATTTTATGGCTGAGCAATGAAGGAACTTTTAAACATAGATTTGTAAGAAATATAATTTATGAGATGTTAGCATCAGAGTTAGCAACTGTTACGCTTGATGCCTAAAGAAGCTACCTAGAACAGAGGCTAGACAGAGTTAAAGGAATAAAGTAGGGATTTATTAAAAGGCCTTCAAAGGATATACCTTGGGCAGCACAAGAGTGTGGCCATGGCTCTACCTAGAATGGACTCAAGATGGACTCCAAGTCATGAGATTTTACACTTTTATAAATTTTGGTCCATTTCCATATTGGGATTTATTGTCCAATTACAGCTTCAGGTTATGCAGTCCCATCCTCCCAGATTGCTCTCCTCAATTCACTGCTGTTTGTACTTTTTGGGCCTGAAGCTGCAGCAGTGTCCTTGGTTCCCAGGCTGGAAAAGGATTGTTTTGTGTGACTGAACTGTGAGGAGAACTTGCTAACACTTCAGAGTTATATACCAATGAAATATAGAATCTGGAAAATATGAAAGCTAACACTTAAGGTATTACACTGCTCAAGATATGTGTTATAATGAATTATTGCCCTATGAAAATCAGCTGCGAATTCCTTGTGCACATAAAGCAAGGTGGGGATGCAAAAACAAAGGTCTACTGACACAATCAGACACTAATTATTTTGAGTATTTGAGAAAGGTGCTCACAAGCTGTTTTGTTAGGAAATGATCCTGTTAAATAGTGGTGCCATTTTATTGGTCTGCATTTGACTAATTTTAACTTCAACTTGAAGACCCATCCAGTATTAAAGCTCTCATTCATCTGCAAGTCTTTATGATTTTCTGTTGAGAAATTCTGTCATGCGATCATTTGTTCAGGTTTATAACATTTAAATAGTTCCTTCTCATTAGTGGAACTTTCTGATTTTTACCTCTAAAGTTACTTGGAAAACTTTTTTCTTTGCATATTGTAAGGACACAAAAATAACATCTGATTTTTGTTAATAAAAGCTTTTTTTCTATGATTATGATTTGTGTTTATTTTCATTATGCCCAAATAAGACAACCTCTGTTCCTGTGGTACATCTGTCTTTAACAAAACTCAAAATCTGCCTGTGCTCCCTTTGACATGATTTCTCTTCCCTGCTCTCCAGAGCCTTAGATTTTGCTTTCAGGAGGCTATTTTGGTGTCTGTGTTCACACCTCTTTGCTGTTACATGCACAGGTGAATTTTCTGTGTTTTGTGGGATATTCTGTGTGAAGAGTGATTTGCATTTGCTGATTCTAATGGAGATCATTTGCATCGTGTTTATCTCAGACTCACTTGTGGTTGGTGCTGGCTAATGGACAGTGAACCATAACCATAAACTCTGTAATTAACAGTCATGATTAGCCTCTGTGAGAATCTTGACCTAAATTAAAACACTCAAAATGATACTTTAAATCAAATTCAATGGCATCTTTTGTCAGTGGATGACATGATCTAGTAATGGATTGTATGATTTTGTTTTACAGGAGCCATTTCTTGAAAATATGAAATATCTTTTTCAGGCTCAAGTAATTTTCCTTCCAACTGTTATGGTCAAAGTTACTGGATGTTTTTAGCTTGTAAGTAAATTTTTAGTAAATGTATTTATTTTATCTCTTAAAACACTTCTTTACTCAAACATTCTGTGCTTGTATGAATCATACAAAGAGACTACTGGAGAGGTCAGTGGACAGATTTCAGTATTAGATTTATGGATACATCAACTGATGGCAATGATTTGTTGGTTTCAAATTCTTGTTCCATTCCATCTTGAAGCTATCTGGGATCTTGTGTCCAGCTTGTGATTTTAGCCAATTTGAGACACGATATCTTAATAATACAGATGCATCTTGGAAGATAATGTTGTGAGAAAGAGATTTTTGGTGATCTTAATTTCAGGTGTCTACAGCAGGGCTCCCATGGTTGGCAAGTTATTGAGGAAAAGTCTCAGTCACACAGGAAAAGGATGGAGGTGGGTGGGTGGAACCTGAGGATGAGAGGGTCATGCAGAATGCATGAGTTGTCAGATGCTTTGATGTCTTTCATGACTTCATTTCTGATCTGTAATTTAAAGCAGCATCTAATGTTTAGACTTATGGCACAGTTACAAGATACATTTAATTATGCAAAAATCTGGGTTTTTCAGCTCTTGACATCTGTACACTCTTAGTCATTAAACTAATGGTGGTGTGCTAATGCTACCAACAAGAAATATTTGTCTTGTGCTCTGGCAATAAATAGGAAAAAGAAAAGTGCTGTACTTTGCAGTTAATGGAGGAAACAGATCCACGTCAAGAGCATGGTGAATAAATTAACAGTAATTTCTGTAATGAATTTAATTTTAGTAATTTATATTACGAACATTATCTTTTTGTTGTGAAACGACAGTTTTTTTATTCCCTCAATTTTCCTACTCCTATTTCCGCAGGAATAATGAATGAAAAAGGGAAGAAGAGAGTGTTGTTACTCTGGGGCTGGTTTTCTGCCCTCTCCCCACTCTAAGAAACTGTCTTCCTAATGGGAGAAAGGAAATTTTCCACAGTAGCACAAGAGAAATAACTTGTCTAAGTGTTTTGTGGTTGGCTGCAAGTCCTAAGCAGCTGAAGATAAAAAATCTGTTCTCTGAGCTCTCACTTTTTGGATTTTAAACATTACAGTGTCCAGGCGGAGTGCAATTCTTTTTCCTGTGTTGAGGTCTGTGTTGATCCCCTGTGCCCCATTTTTTCACAGGGACAGATGGATGGGGAAGATACAGCAGAATAAATAACTGCAGGTAGGGATCTTCATTGCATTTACTGGTATTAGCTGGTACAAGTACAGCATTGGAAATGTAGCAGCTATAGTGCCTTTATCGTGTGATGCTTGAGTGATCTTTAAAATTCTGCTCTCTTAATTGAACTTGTCTTGACAACATAATTTTGCTTTCTAGAAAAATAACTTACACTGGAAGTTAAAATGTTCGGTTGCTGCTTGCACCACAGAGCACTTAGAGTTTTATTTCTTTTAAAACCATCTGTAGTTGTACGTATCCAGAAAAATATTTAATCACTGTTTGTTCTTTGTGTGCATTAGTGCTGCCTGGCTTTTAAGGACAGCATAGTTCCTTCAGTAGAGTTCTTCCAGCAAAACCCAGAGTAACTCTCTTATCATCAGGAAAGATGATAGGAAAGATTTATATTCTACTTAATAAAGAAGAAAAGAAATCTCATACAGTAATGGGTTCTGTTGATGTAATTAAGAGAAATAACTGGACTTAGCATTAGGGCTTACCATGTATGTGGGTGTGTGTTACTGTCCAGTACCTGTTGCTAGCAGGCTTTATATATCACTTTTTAAAAAATATGTAATTTCAGATATGAGGATAAATGCTGTGATTTTCATTTTCCACAAACAAAGTTTGTATGTTTTACTGGGTTATGACATGATATTGAATGTATTTTGGGGTCTGGTCTTGTGTATAACAGATAGTATATTTGAATTTAAGATTTTGTCTGTGTAAGTATAGCGAACATACATAAGAGCCTGGGAATAATAAAAAGCAGAAATTAACAAATTAAAAACAGTAATATATACTCTAATTTCTAACCAAAAGCTTTTAATGAAAGGCAAATTTTGTGCCAATATTTAATGCATGTCTGCATGGTTAAAAGTCTGGAATGAAATGTGAAATAGGAAACCTTTTGTTTTCTTACCATTTTACACATATCTTTCCAATTGAACAAAAACCCATCTTTGCTTTTAATAAATGTAGCTACGATTTCAGCAGAAATAAAATAATTAATTAATACTTAGGTGATTATTCTTCAAAAGTATCACCCAAGTACTTTTCCCTTTCTTACAGTGTTGTCAGTGAGAGCACAAAATTTCATTTGCTGTTTTCAGAAATGCAACCAAGCTCCTCCCTCCATCCCTCCCACAGGCATCACACTACTAAGAAAACTTTCTGCATGGGAGCTGGCTCAGGAGAAATGTTGCTGTTTGGAATGGAAAGGTGAAGGTGAGAAAACCAAAACTTTCTATCTCCTTGGAGATAACAGCCAGCCAACATTACCTTCAGAAATTTGTTTGAAGGCTTTTCTAGTTTGCAGGGGATATTGTAAGTATTTTGGTTTATCTAAATATTTGTATACTAGAGAAAACTCAATTACTGATTATCTTACTTTAATTCTAGGTCTATTTGGTCAAAATATTTGGGGATATATGTATACAAGTGTGTGTGTCTGTATATAAATAAAATATGTTTCCAAGTATTAGATGTGGTTTTATTTTAGGTATAGGGAGCATCTATGTAAGAAAATCTGTCATTAATGTAAAACCACTACATTGCTGTAAACATGTAGCTCTTTCTATAATTTAATAACTGTGTCAGTGAAACATTTTGCTGAACAGTGATGTATTTGTCATATTAATTACTATTAATTATTGTCATATTAATTATTATAGTATTAATTACTGACTGCTCTGTTTTGTTATATCACCTCATGCAGAATATGAATCAAATTTGCTTTAGTATTAAGCAAACTAATCTAGCTACATTGAACTTGACATACTAAAATTTCTTTACCTACACAACTCTGGAATGTTTTTCTCACAGAAATACTGGTAAGTGATTTTTTTTCAGGATGTTTAAGTAATGCACAGTCTAGTCCATTGCATAGATTTCTGAATTTGGAAGTAATGAGTGAGTATATTATATTATATTCGTATTGTGAATAACTATCTATTACATGTGTTCAAAAATCAAACCAAACAACACAAAAAAACCAAAAAAGAAAAACAAACAAACAAACAAACAAAAACTCCCCCCCAAAAAACCCCAAGAAACAGCACTGGTAGGAAAAAAAAAACCACCAAAAACTGCACTTGTAGATATTTATCCAACCCATCCAAACACAAACTTTTCCTTGAGATGGAGCTACATGTGAGAAGTGGAGAAATGGGGACAAAGTGCTGCGTGGAAGAAATGGCCTTGTATTTTAGAAACAGCAGGTGTCCTCTAAAATGTCCAAGTTGGATTTACTAAGGATTAAAATCTGTTAGATCTGTTCACCATCAATGGCAGTTAAATAGAAGAAAATGTTGATCAGAAACAGACATTTTTTTCTGCTTATGGAAACTGAGTAGGTGATAGCAGAAGCTTTTGACAAGGTACAGAACAAAAAACAGGGGATTTCTGTCCTGTTTCATAAGGTGTTGCTATGAGCTGCTTTATCTTTTTTTTTCTTATTTCAGGTGAAGAGGTGAACACTTCTTTATTCTTTATTCTTTATTCCAATGTGAAACACTATCCTAAATGCACACTAAAACCAAACTACAGTTGGTTTTCTCTTTATTTTTTTTCCAGATCCAGGTGCTCACAGGAAATATTCAGTTGGTGGCCCTTGACAAAGGAGTTGATATGAGTAGTTTGGCACTAAGAATTGGTTATAATCCATGCTAAAACTAGATTGAAACACAAATAAGGACATTTTTATATTTATCTTCGTACTAGTTTTCCTGTTTTGAGGAACATCTCATAAATGCTCCTTACTGACTTTTATAGTATTTTGCTGAGTAGTTTTATCAGTTTCAATTCTACTTTTGTGGATTGTTCATTTCTTATCATCAATAGTTTGATGGCTGCATTTAAAAGGAGCTCTGTGCTTTTAGGGAGCTGGAAAAAAATCTGAAATTCATACAAATGGAGCCAAATCAAGGAGTTGTACATAAGGCTTGCATTTGTATTTTGCTTTTCAGTCTAAAAGTTCAAATTTGTTAGTTATCATCTTTAGTGATTAGTCAGTACCTCAGCAAGCATTTTGTAATTCATGTCTCTGAAACATTTTATTAATAGGCTCATTTTTTGGCATTGCTTTGCTATTCTAGAAAAACTCTTTATCTTAGAAATTTTAGTAGCAAATTGTACTTTAGTATTGCCCAATGTGTGTTTTAACTTATTGACTCTTTGTTCATCCCTTTCTAGTAGCTTGCAGGTCATCTGTTCATTAAATTTCATCAGTATATTTGAAATTCCTTGGGTTTAGACATAAAAATATTCTGTGTCATTTTTGCAGCACCCTTAAGCCAGCTAGACCAACCTCAAACAATGTCTAGCTTTGTACACTGAATGCAATTCCTCTCAAGATGAGAAAACTAAGTCATTTCCATTTTAATTAAAAAGAAAAATATATTAATGCATCCCTGATCCTTGAGAAAGTGGTACTTCAGTAACTGAAGGTACCAGTGCATTTTTTATATGTTACTGAAGGACTGGTCTCTACTACAGGACCAGAGATATCAAAACCTGTTGTAGGATTTCCAGCCCTTAATTTAATTTAAGTATATTTATTTCATTTGCTATACTGGAAATAACAGATCTGAACTGTAGTCTTGCATCTGCCTCAGCAGCACATTGACATAATACATATTGACCTATAATTTCTTTGCACTACTTTGTAGTAACACACCCAAGTTTCCAATATTCTTCTCTCAGTTTCTAGAATAAATCTTGTGCTTGTTCTCTATCTTCCCTCCCAGAATCAGTTACCGGGGAAGCTTTTGTGTCCCACGCAAAAATTGAAATTATTTCTCAGAGTAACACTTTTCCTCTATGTCTTGCCTTAAAAATTCAACTCATTCAGCAGTATATGGTGAGGTGGCTGAGTTTAGCTGAGCTTCAGGAATTCCAAGTAGTCACTTGTCACTTTCTTTTAAAAGTTTTAAAGTTCTTTTAAAAGAACAGGATGACAATCACTCTGTCTTTTTAATATCATTTTAGTCCTCTGTATTAGAAGGATTTTTCAGTCACATCTTCTTAGCTTCCTTTTTCCTAACCAAGTCACAATCTATAAATTCTCGGTAGTTGATCCAAGTCCAAGAAGTCTGTTTTTCCATGTGAACACAGTGTGTTTGGTACAGGTCTGCTGAAGAAATCCTCTCATGAATGTTCATGAAAATTTGTCCAATTATGACTTCTGGTCATAGTGGCTGAAGGGAATGTGTTGCATCTTTTTGTTCTTGATCAATACTTCTCATTTTTTTTAATTCAGCTGTGAAATCCTTAATACAAAAATGATGTTTGCATTTACTAAAACCATTTTCTTTGCTTCATTTATTTCAGTTGACATAGTTCCCTAAAAGCTGAGTTTCTCTGTTGTCCTTAAAACCGATTTGAAGATAAAATGGTTCTTAGAATTATTAAAAATTAAAAAAAAAAAAAAGAACATCTTGATTTTCAATTTATCTTTTGAGCTTTTGATTGGAAATGGGTCCGTGTGGTCTTTTGATTGGAAATGGGTCTGTGTGGTTTGGCCAAAGTTCTTTGGTTATGTACTTCCATTTTGTTACCATGGTAAATTCTGATCTCTGAGTTGCGGTTCCTGATCAGATCTGAACATGCTTGGAAAGTCCCAGAGGAGAAAAAAACCCCCTCCCAAATCCCATGAAGCTCAACAAAATCACTGCAGAATCATTCTTGCTTTCATATTCTTTTAAAATAAATGTATCTGCATCTGAAGATGAGGGCTGTCATTGCAAGAGAATATTGATTCTCTGACATGGTCCACATGTGAGCTCACAAGAAGTAGCAGCACAGCTGGACCTCAGCACTCAAAAATGCAGAGTGGTTTAAAAACTTGGCAGTGACCGAAAGTGCTTATTAAATGGAAGTAATGGGTTTTGACGTGAGTCACAAAGGACAAACCACCCTGTAATGGGTCAAAATTTTCTTCATCTTCTGTGGATGAGAACTGGTGTCATGTAAATTGCTGTCATCTACAGTAGTGTGGTAAATTCAGGCATTAGTAACTGAATATTTACAGTGATTTGCCTTGTCACCTCAGTGCTTCTCATTGCCACCCTTCCCCTTTGTCAGGGATTTAAGCCTCAAGCAGAATAATTGAAAATGCAACTGGACAAAGCCTTGAGCCAAACTCAGTGTTGGCCTTGCTCTGTGGAGGGGATGGATCTGATAAACCTTAGAGATGTGGAACTAAATTCTGTTTTCAGGAAGTACAGAGGAGCAGGCTGCTGATACTTTAATCTAAAGTAAGAAACAATTAGATGATTGTCAGAGTTTTGATAGAGATGTGATTTTGATGCTTCCAAGCTGGAAAGACGGAGAGAAGTATCTCTTCTGTAACCTGAATCACACAGGGTAGATCCAGATGAAATAGTCGATCTTCATTTGCTCTGTTTTTCATTACTCATTCTTCTAAATCAATGTACTTCTAGTTGCTTTTGCCTTATATCCTGGTGCCTTAAACACAGCAGGACCATCTGGTCAGAAGAGGTGATTGTCCTGCTGTGTCCAGAGTTGGTGTGGCCTCATCTGGAACTCTGTGGGCAGTTCTGGGCCCTGCAATTTAGGAAGGATGAGAAGGTCCTTGAGTGTGTCCAGAGCAGGGCACCAAAGCTGGTGAAAAGGTTGGAAGGAATGCCCTGAGACGAGCTGCTGTGGGCTTTGGGCTTATCTGCTTTGGGGAAAAGGAGGCTGAGTATTGTAAATGCAGGCAAACCCAATGGGAAGAAATGACGATGTCTGACTCAATTCAGAAGGCTGAATTATTTCTTTATTATAACTATGCTAAAATACATTAAGATAGTATATAAAAGGAGGATACTAAAACTACATACTACTTTCTCTGACTCTCACAACTCGTGACCCTCTTTCCAGAGTCCAGCCCCAGGTGTGTTGGATTGGCCATCAGGCTCAAACAATCCTCACCAGAATCCAATCAAGCACTCACTCCAGATAAACAATTCTCCAAACACATTCCACATAGGAAAAACAAGGAGCAGAAATATAAATTGTTTTCTCTTTCATTTCTCTCTGTGCACCTCTATGAAAAATCCTGAGAGGTAGAGAAATGTGCTTGCCACAGCTGAGGGGTGACCTCATTGCTGTCAGTGACCTCATCTACAGCTTCCTGAGGAGGGGAAATGGAGAATGAGGTGCTGAGCTCTTCTCCCTGGGATCCAGTGATAGGACATGTGGGAATGGTCCAAAGCCACACTGCAGGGGGTTTACATGGGACATGAGGAAATGTTTCTTTGCCAAAAGGGTGGTCAAACATTGGAGCAGGCTTCCTAGGTGGATACTTGATGCCCCAGCCTTGTCAGTGTTTAAGAGTTAAGCACTCGTCAGTGTTACCATGGTCAGCCCTGAACTGGTCAGGCAGTTGGGTTGGATGGCCATTGTAGATTCTTTTCAATTGAAATAGTCTATTCATATTCTATTCTATTTTATTCTATTTTGATACAAAGTTTCAGAGAAATAAAAAATCATTTATCTAATAGATATTAAAGCTGTGTGTTATTTCTGGTATTCTGTAACTCTCAAGAGCTTTCTTTCTTAAGTTACCTCTAGCACTGGAGACAAACACTCACAAAGAAAAATGGATCCCTTGTTTTGGCCATCAGAAACTAACAGATTTCGACGATTCACCCCTGAATCCTTGGCAGCAATTGAGGAAAGGATTGCCAACAAAAAAAAGAAGCAAGTAAAAGTTAAAGAGAAGAAAAAGGAGCAAGGAGTTGAAGAAGATAAACTTACTCCTCAGCTGGACCTGAAAATTTGCAAAACGTTGCCATCTCTGTATGGGGACATTCCTGAAGAGCTGGTTGGGGAACCCCTGGAGGATTTTGATCCATACTACAGTGATCACAAGGTTAAAACTTCCCAAAGCTTTTTTTTTTTAAATTTTTGCCTGCTGAGTTCTTAAGAGATAATAAAAGCTCTATTCAGGAGGTCCTGGGGTTTGATTGCTCTGTAGACAGAGCTTTGAACATTGCTGACAACTTTTGGGGGAAGTTCTAAGATATGTTCTGCATTATGGAATTAAGAGGTATTTTTAGTTCCAGTCAAGAATCAAAATTAATTATGAAAACATATGTGATTGGTGCACTTTAATAGTAAATATATTCTGGGATTAGTGATGCTTTGTTTTCCAGAGCAGTTTCTCTGATGCCTGTTGGGCTGAGCTCCCTGTTCTATAAACAGTGCCTGTCCAACAGTCAGTCACACTAGAATTGCAAATGCTTTCACTGAATTACAAATACTATACAAATTAAGGGAGGCACATTTGAGATATTTCCATTATTTTCTGTAGCAAACCTATGTATTTTCATTGTCTTAAATTAATTTGCTGTAACTTTGTCTCACTGGCTTTGTTTATTGTTCCATATTTATATTGCACATACTTCATGCTATTCCGAAGTGGTTGGTGATACTGACTATAACAGTGTATAAAGTAGATAGTCTAGGAATCCCTTCTAAATTAAATACTTCTATTAAATTACTGTCAAGAGTTGATCTGAAGAGCAGAAGGTTCCATCCAGTCCTAGCTGCTGTTTTAATATATCCCAACAATGTATTGGAGTGTAATAATTTTATCAGAGAACATGCTTTAGACTTTGATCTTCCAGATACTTTTTTCTCAAAGTCATCAAAGTGATACTATTGATGAAGCAGAACTAAAGTTGATTGAGTTGAAGAAATTTATATTAAAGTTAGGAAACTGTGTTTTTCATTCAAGAGATTTCATTTTTACTATATGGAAAAAGTGCTGAGCTGCATGGACCTTAAGGTAGCATAGAGGGAATTTACAGTGTTATGTGACAATATAGATATATTTCAAAATCAAAAATTTGCTTTGACTATCCAGGATTTTGGCAGTGCTACACAATCTGCCCCTTGTAAATAATCTCTTGTAGCCTGTAACACTGTCTAAGAGGTATTAAGACCATTGTTACAGTCCCAGAGTAGTAATTTAATTACTTTGACAAAATGAATATGATTACTTGCTCTTCATATTCATTCCCATTATGGCTTCTTCCTCTCAGGCAATAATGAACTTTGATGGAGCTGCTGTTTTTCCTTCAAAATGTGTATAATCAGGTCACAGCTCCAAATAAGAATAAAGGAAAGCTGTACTCCTAACTGCAGTTAGATATAGCTCTAGATGCAGACTTGAAAAACTGAACACGTATTTTTGCAGAAATTTTAAATTCATTCAAATGTTTTGTGTACTAAATCTGTGTACATTTTGTGTAATTTTTTTTTTTTTATAGACTTTTATGGTGTTAAATAAAAGGAGGACTATTTTCCGGTTTAGTGCCACACCTGCCTTGTTTATATTTGATCCTTTTAATCCTGTCAGAAAAAATGCAATTAAAATTCTGATCCATTCATATCCTTTCATTGGTTTGCCTGATGTGAGTCTTAAAATATTCTGTGCCATTTTCTGTCATTCCGTTCCTCTGTTTCTGCTTTTTCTGCTTTATTTAGAAATATTAATTAGTGGAAATAGGTCTTTTTAGGTGAACGTCTGAACATGTCAAACATGTTATGTTCCACTAGTGTCCTAACTTCCAAAATTGTCTCCACATGCTGATAATTAATTTTTATATTTAAAACATTAATTTTACCCAACTGAGAAGATTTGGTCTTGATGGGGGATTCTTGGGTTGGTCCTGTGCAAGGATAGCAATTGGATTTTGGTGATTCATGTGGGTCCCTTCCAACTCAGGATAATTTATGATTCTGTTATAAGTTTCCTTGGAAAACCCATGAAAAGTTCTGAGCATATTCAAATGAAAAGTTATTGTTTGAATGCTTGCATGGTTTTTGTGTGTGGAAATCAGCAACTTGCATGAGCTTCGTTTTGTGTTATCTAGAGGTTTTTTCCTTGACTTATGAGTCACAGTGTTTCTTGGCATTATTACATTTACTGTGTTACTCAATTGTATGGCTATGACTATCCCTCACCTTCTCACAGAAGCCTACTGGACTGAGTAAGTACCTCACTGGCCATGTTCTTACTATTTTTCCAAGGATACTAACATGCAGGACTGAAAAATGTAAATAATGCAATGGTCTAATTCTGGAGCTTGAAAATTCTCAGCTAGACAGACCCCTGAGGAAGGCTGAGGATTGTTATTATATCACCCAGCCTTTTGTGGAGATTCAGTGCCTTTTCTTAGAGTCTCACCATATGCCCTTTTTTCTGTCTTGCCTAATTTTGCCATCTGGTGTAACATAGGAGGTTGGCCTATTTTTCCTTTTGAGGATTAAATCATTCTGAGAGATTGTGCAGTAGGATTTTAACTTAATATCTCTCATTCTACAGCAATAACCTGAATGACTGTTGTAGTTGCCTCATACAAAAGCTATAAATAAATAAATATTCATTCTGTGCTTTCCTCTGTTTCCTGGTGACTCTCCTTAGTCAGTTGTTCCCACTAGGAAGATATTTATTTGTAATGTCCTGCTTCCTTTGGTACTTGTGCACTGTATCCAGTGTAACTTGAGTTCATATTCCAGAATTAAATCTAGAAAACGTCCCTGGAGCCTCCAAAGTTCTATAATTTTAATTCCTTTTATTTGGGGTAAGCACAGTGATAACTTAATTTTCTATAGGATTTCTTTCAGTTATAGTGTATTTGTCAGAATAAATATATAAAATGTGCAAACTTTACAGGCTGAAATAAATCTTTGTTGTTATTGTTCTGCCAGAATGGTGAGGCTTTGAAATTTTCCAGCCTTCTTTAGATCATAAACACAGTTTTGAAATTGTTTTCCTAAGGAAATGTGAGCTGTCTTTCATCCAGAAATAGCATCATATGCTAATGTGAATGTTTGTGTTTGTAGATTTATATGGAAAAATTACTAAAATTCAGGGAGATATCTTGTCCCCATGGTGCTTCTGAAAGTAATGCAACCTATCCTATTTTGCATCACATTTTCTGCCTTTATCTCCATTCAGGAACTAAATCAGATAAAAGATAGAAATGTGCCTGAATCTGTATCAGTCTCATGGCTATTTTTATTTCTGTAACTTTAATATACATTTTCCTCCTCAGGCATGTTTTCACTGCTATATATACTATTGAAATATTGATTAAAGTAGTAGCAAGAGGATTTGTTTGGAGTGAATTTACTTTTCTTCGAGATCCATGGAACTGCTTGGATTTTTTTATCATTATTGTAATGTAAGTAAACTCAGTTTTTCTTTTACACTCAGGGGACAAAACCACGGAGAAAATAACATTTGGTGTTGCTGAAATTCCTTACAGTTGTTGGCATCCTCCCTGCTAAACTGTGCTTGAATCACATTTTGCATGTCTGCAATGAGAAAAACAGACTTTAAAGTAAGACCTAAATTAAAAGCTCATTGTAGAACTGTGTGATTGTTCTCAATTTAGTCTATATTTGAATTTTGTCAAGAGGTAATTGCATAAACAGCCCAAACCAAACCTGCCTCTTTATGGTGTCTTAGCTGTACTCTAGGGCAGATGAAACTCATTTGAGAAAGGTCCAAAATGGGTCAAAAGGTGTTGAATGATTTGGTGGTAAATAACTGATGAAATCCCAGTGTCAAATGATGCTCAGGAAAGAACACACCTTGCTTTACATACAAATTCATGTGTGGGCTCTGAAATAGCCTCCACTTGTTGGGAAGATGATGTTGGATTTTAAACAGACAGTTTTGTAAAAGCACCACTCCATGCTGCAGTCACAGTCAGAGAGGGAGGCAGAAACTGAAGACATCATGGGTAAGAAGCAAAGAAGCAGAGCACACATTATTTCTCAGTGTAGCCTGTATTTTAATTCAGGACTTTGTGTAGTTTTGCTCCACACATGTCAAAAGATGTCAGAATTAAAAAAGATGCAGTGAATATGTATATCTGTAATTCCACATACAAAAAACCAAAATAGAGTAAAACTCACCTAAAAAGACAATTGCAGAGGAGGAACACACAAGTGTATGGCAGAGACAAAAAGAGAAAAAATAATATTTTTCTTCCTATAATGAGAGTTAAAGGCACCAAATGAAATTGTCAGGTGGCAGAATAAAAAAGAAGGGAGTAGTTTGTAGCATTATATTTAGGTTTTTTCCTCATTTGTAAATAATAGATTATGTGTACACAGGTGTCATCACACACATCTATATGTATTGAGCAATTATTCTTATGGGCAATCATGAACTGCTAAGGAGCTTGAATATTGTTGATCAGCAGCATCTATCACTAGGTGGCTCCTGATAGTTGCAACTATCAAGGCAGTCCAAGAGCTGCATGAAAAATTTAATGTATAGTCCTTTTTCCCTACCTGCATGCTTAATTAATTAGTGTTCAACTTTACAATATAACAACTCCACCTGTTTTTTTCCATGTCTTATAGTACAATAAAAAAAAAAAGCGCCAGTTAATTACTAAATCTTACAGACTAGGCAAAGCCAATGTGCTCTGATCTGCTGCTGACAAAGTCATGCTTTGAGGGGGAGGTTGACTTTTCAGCCATTGTTGCGTCAGATTTTGTTATTGAGACTTTACTTTTTAAGGAATTCTGTTACCAGTTATGACCTTGTCATGAGATGAGTCACAATTCATGTCCTTTCTGACATGAAAGAAGTCTTAGAAAATTTGGGGCAACCTGTTAAAGTGCTGTATGGAATATGCAATGCTTTAAAATACTGATTTGATGAAATTTTCTAATTGTTGAAATATTAAAATTGAAACAAGTTGCCAAACTCAAGTTCTCACTGACTGTTAAAGGTTAGAAAGACCTATGTGGTACAGAATAAACACATTATAAATCTACTGTTGCTCAACTTCCTTCTCCTGAAGTGTGTATTTTGTTTTGAGATAGCTGCAACATGTACTTTCATGAGAAAAGTCACACTGTAAGAGTGTGGTTGTGATTGGCAGTTTTATATTTGACATTTTGATGGATAAACTCTTCCAAAGTTAAGGCATCCAAATCCACACTAAGTAGGAGCTAACTGTATTTCTTTTCAGAGGCACTGCTCCAAAGTCCATTTACTTTATATCCATGCTTAGAAATGAACTTAGATTCCTAATTTTAGGCATGTATCTTAGGACATATTTGACTTGTTTATTTTCTGCAGTGTATTCATTACTGCCTGCTCCATAAGCCAATGCTTTGAAAACCTCCCTCTTTGTCATTCAGTTCAGTGTGGGTTAATTTTACAGGTACATTACTACATTTCATAGTGTTGGCAATGTTTCAATTCTTCGAACTTTCAGAGTACTGAGGACTTTGAAAGCTATTTCAGTAATACCAGGTAAGGAACAGCACATCTTACTGATTATCTCTCTGCTTCACCAGAATTCTAATTCCACTCCTGTTCTTGTCTTCTAGTTCTCTGGTCACTTTTAGTGACCCCAAGGTGTGACTCTTTTGCATCCTCAGCAGCAACCTAACACAACTTTTTAAATCATCTTTCCTTCAAATGGTTTTGACAAAGGCAAATTTATATTCTGCATTTTTTTTATCCTATCACTGATGTGCATTTTTATTTATCCCAGTGCCTTTGTCTCTTTCATTTGTCTTCCTGGAGCAGCCAGCTGTATGTAATATGTTTTCCTAACATAATATATCTGAACCACCATGTTTCTGGTTTCATGTTCCACCTCATTAGCTAAACCTTGTCTGGTTTATTTCCCAGAATGCTGATTTCACAAATTTGAGAGACTTTCATTTGTTTCCTTACTGACCACAGCCACTGTCTAGATTGTGTGTAATACTTTCAACAGTATGTCGCATATGCCATCCAGATATTCAATATTTTTGTAAGTTGTGTCCTTAATTAGGGTACCAAAGAATGGTTTCAGAGTCCAACTGCAAAAACACACTTGAAAATCTATAAATTACTCTATATCTCATGGTCATAATATATATAAACTTTATCATTCCATGTAATTTCAAATATAATTTGATTTTTTGATGAAATTATAGCATTAATGAAAATTGATGGTGTTTAATTTTAGTGTAAAAGCCACACATCAATACTTTTCCTTTGTCTTTAACTTGCAGCTGTCATGTCTTGTTATATAGGAGCATCACTGCATTCCTTTTCTCACTTTCTATGTTATTGGATCTCGTTTTCCTAGGTCTGAAAGTCATTGTAAATTCACTTGTTGAGTCTGTTAAGAAGCTCTTGGATGTGCTGATCCTGACTGTATTTTGCTTGAGTGTATTTGCACTAATAGGCCTCCAGCTTTTTATTGGCAATTTACAAGCCAAATGTGTCCTCGATGTAACTCAGTACAATGACTCATTATGTAAGGATCCCAAGATACATCTACCAAGTGATACAGGTAAAAGTTTTTATTTTCTCCCTTTACATAACCTGTGTATATTCCGATGTATGTATTGATTTTTCACAGGGATATTATTATATAGTTGCATCTATTTCTTCCAGGAAGGTTTGTCCTTCCATTTTCACAAGTAGTAGTTCGAAGTCTCTGGGACAACTGAATATGAAATTAGTGAATCTTTGATTTGGAGAAAGATCAGCAGTCTGTGGGATAGAAGGGACTGAGTTTTCTATAAGCGTTTTCTTTATCTGTGCATTACACAGGGATATTAATTTTAGGGGTACTGCACAGGGAATGATTTTTTCCATCACTTACTCAGTATTTCATGGATTTTGTCCACTTCTCATAGGGATTCTTATTTTTACCAAAGATCAAATAAAACCTTACATTGTTAGTTGTGCAGCAAATTGTTACTATTTATTTTAAATTGCCAGAGAGAGAGATCTGCTGAGAATCAGTTCTGTTGGGAAAGGATCTTTCACAGAGGTTTGATCCTTCTGAATGCTTATGATGTGCAGTAATGTTTGGTTTACTGTCAGAAAGTTGTAAAAACTGAGAACTTCTGATTTTATGATTCTTTGATTTTTTTTTTTTCATTAGATCTCTGCTACAGATTGGAAGACACTTCTGAAATATTGCTGTGTGGGTACAGTGCAGATCCCAGGTAAGTGAACAGAGCAGTTTTTGTACTTAATTTTTTCCTCCAGATGAACTATTGGTCTAAAAGAATGGTGATGATTTTTCAGGAGGAAAAAATTCATCAGTGTGTGTGTTATTAAATTAAAAACCACATATTTCACAACCGAAAAGAAATTAAGTCCAAGAATGCAGCCGATTTTATATGTATTTTGTTGCTAACCACTGGGAGTACAGTGGTAAGGTACAATGATATAAATGAGAAGGGGAACAGATCACTAAAGACTTTTTAGATGTTGTTAAATTCTCCTCTCCTCATCTTGGTGAATTATTAAAAGTAAAGATATTTCCATTTTTCTCCACTCTCTGTATTTGTTTGGACATATCCTACATCAGTGAGAGGTTTTGTCTAGTCCAAACTAAGGTTTCTGTCTAGTTTTCTTTACTAGACAAATGGTTTTCTGGGCTGGTCAGATATGAAACAGCCCTTCTGGCAGGATATTTTGGGGAATAATGAAACCTCTTTGCAGACAAACTGAGCAAATCTTTATTTGTCACTGTGTATTTGCTGCTTTCAGATTCAATTTAATCTCCACATAAGTATTGTTTAACATTTCCTTTATGGTTAGAAAGGGGTGTCCAGAAAACTACACCTGTGAGAAGATTGGGAACAATCCTGACTTTGGTTATACAAGTTTTGACCATTTTGGCTGGGCTTTCCTCTCTGTGTTCCGTCTGATGACCCAGGACTACTGGGAGCGTCTCTACAGACAAGTGGGTACTTTTTTTACCTGCTGGAATGACTTTAGATGTGCAATTCAGAGCTTTATGTCTAATAGAAGAGTCTGCATTGGTTTTAACATGACTGACACCAATTTTCTTCTAAAATCAGTGTAAATATTAAAGCAGTAGAGTCAAGTGACTGAGCTGTAACACCTTCTGTAAGTGATGTTGGGTGGGAGCAGCCCTGCTGTGAATGCTCATAGTTTTGTTGGAGAACACATTGGGGTCGGTGGTTAAATAAGAGTTAAATATTTGTATGTAACCACCCAAGGATTGGGATATGGAGCAGATCCAGCCAGGGAGCTCCCTGCTGCTGCAGGGAATGTAAGGATTTGTCACATTTGCTGTTTGTCTTCCTTGTAAGTGCTGAACATTTGGGTTCAACATGCACACTTTCATTTTTGACAACATGGTACTAAAAGAATTGGAGACTTTATGTTTTGATTCTGTGAGTTGAATGTAACTTCTCGATTCTGTGATTTTTTTGTAAAAAGTTATGTAAAAATAACCTGTAGAGAACTTCCTGGATCCCATATGTCTATACAGTACCTTTGCCAGACAGGAACAATACTCTGCCTTATTCTGTACCTTTCATATTGCTCCATTTTAAATCTTTTTTCCATCAGCCTTTATTACCTAAGACTTTTTAAAATGGATCTTTTGCATTTGAAGGTCGTGTTACTTTTAGTTTTTTAATGTCTCAGAGCTTAATTTTGAACTATCTCCTCTACCACCATTTAATAAAAATATAATAAGATGATCAGTCTAAATGCTGCCTCTGATTCTGTTATTAAAACATCTTTCATGATTATGTAGATAATCCTAGCTTTCATCTTTATTACTGAGTTTCATTAACTTCTTCCACAGTCACCTGTTGATGTCTTTGCAGATGAGGTTGTTTCTCAAAGCTTAAATGTTGATGATCATATGCCTGATTTGCTGGAAGATATTTGATTTATTTTAAGAATGGGATTTGTTAATTCTTTTCTGCAGTATGTTTTATGCATTTTTATGTATAACTAAGACCAGAAGCAGATCCTACTGTTGTTCATTCAAAACCCTGCAGTACATTAACCTTTTGTATTGCATAGAAAAATAAATTGTTTAAAGTTTCTTTTGAAATTGCTTTGTAAATGTTAGTTTGTTAAGAATTTATTACCACCTTTGCCTTTTCCTCATAGACCATCCGTACATCTGGAATGTCCTGCATCTTTTTTTTTATGGCAGTCATCTTCTTCTGCTCATTTTATCTCTTCAATCTGATCTTGGCTGTGGTAACTATGGCATATGAAGAGGAAAACAGAGCTACCCGTGCTGAGACAGAGGCAAAGGAAAAACTGCTTCAGGATGCCAGAAAAGTTATAGAGAAGGAACAGGTTTGTAAATTATCATATATAATCTGTAGTTCCTTTTGTTTTCTTCTGTTTGTGAATTAGGGAAATAATGTTTTGAATTAAACATGGGCTTCTTATAATACTTTCAGATAATTAATTTCTCTTTATGTCTTTACAAATGCATATATGCATGTGTATATACATGTTTAAATACATAAACCTTCCTGTGATACAAAAAACCATCATGAATCCAAGTTAAAACTTACTAAGTTTTAGGATTTGCAGACCTGACGTTTTACAGGAATGGCTTTCTGGCAAGAAATTAACTTTCATGGTATTGCATGGATGCTGCACTCCTTAGTTTGCCCTATTCTTGTACAGTATCATTATTACTGTGCCCAAAAATTCCTTTCTCTGGGTGTCCCTTCCTGATATTACTGCAGGAAGGAAGCATAAGTGGATGCATTTTATCTTCTCCCTTAAATAAAAGATATCTCTGATGTACTGCTAGCAGTCAGAAGAGTCAGACTTGTAAGAAGACAAAGAAATATTCTGTAGCAACTATCAAATTTCATCATTGAAGTCTTAGGCATCACCATTTTACCAAGTTCCTCCTCTTCAGTTGTTGACAGCTCTGTAATGTTTCTGTGCCGGGCATTCCACCTGGCCAGATTTTGCTTAGGCTTTTCTTCCTTCTGTTTTTCTTTTTTCTTCTTTCTGTTTTTCTTTCAACAGGATTAGGATTTAGGAAAATTTAACATTTTAGCATTTTGTTTGAGCCCTTAGTCTTCTGCTGTCTTGGACTCAAGGTCCTTTTCAAATCAAGAAAAGGAAAATGAAAGGTCAAGCCACAATACTTTGTAAATCAGATACAAAATACAATATTTAAAGTGACAAAGGCAGACTTAAATTAGAGTAGCTCACAAGTAACCCTGCTTGGTCTTTCAGAGTTGTGAATAGCATTTTGTATTCCTGTCTTTTGATGGAAGTTTAACATTTGAAACCTAGGAATTGTCAGTACAAATAATTCAGATAACATAATAATTGCAGGTATATGGTCCTAGTCCATTCTTCTAGAATTAACAGACAGATGTTTTGCTTTTCCTGTAACAGATGTTGGCTGTGGAAGAAAGCAGTAAGGCCTTGCATGCTGGGCCTGAAATGTCAGTTGCTGACTTGAAAAATTCAGAAGGAAAAGAGAGTAATAAAGGAACACCTACTTCAAGGCAAAGCTTAATTTCAGATGGCCAGGAAAAGGAGGAGCAAATATTTCGTTCTCAGCCCGATCGCTGCCACAGGAAGCTTGTGAGTATTTGAAATAGAAAATGCATTCATTAGATTTGCATATGATATGACAATTCAAGGATGAGATTTTGGGACCAGAGGGAGTCAGCATTACCTGCACCTGAAGGGGAAGCTGGAAGTGGCTGTCAGTGGTACACTTATGGCACATCATAGACCTGTGCTCTGAGAGCTGTGGTAAGACCTGTCAACATCCCTGTTTGTACTGCAGAAATAAATGTATAACATTCTTAAGGTTTTAGAGTTTCCCTAAAGGCCTGACTATTTTTTAAAATTTTTATTTTTTAAATTATTATTCTTTTCTACAGACAGCTCATTCTCTGACCTGAATATTTAGGATAGAGTTTAGTTCAGTATAAAGATTTCTGACCTTAGGGGTGTGATTCACTTGCTCACTTTAAGCATCTGGTGCCAGTTTAGATGCTCTTGCATGTGGTGGATGTTCTAGATATCTTTGATATCTGTGGCACATCTTTCAGCACTTTGTGGATATCTCATAAACCCTGCAACATCTCAAATGTTACTAAATTCCTATATTTAGGCAACTAGATTGTGTCCAGGGTTTGAATTTTTGGGGTTTTTAAGGTTTCTACATGTGTTTTAGGTTCTAAACTCCTAGAGTCAACTGGAGATTTAATTTTTCAGGTCACAAATTGATACCTAGTGACATTAGAGCTTTTCTAGTTTCTTACTTGGCTTTCACCTCCTCTCTGGAAGGACACAGATGTTGTGTGCTATGTCTGCTACTGTGGATGTCTCAGCTACCAAATATCTCAATAGTCCATCTCAAATGGTTTCAGAAACATTTATTTATGTGAATCAAACTTACCAGAAACATATGTATCCCATTTACTGGGATTTTAAGTGCATTACACACATGGATAAATTAAAGAAGGATATCTAAAATATTAGGCTGAATCTCACACATATTGTTCCACATCCTTATAGCAGTGATTTTTGGCTCCTCTGCTGACCACTCATTTTTAAGTCCATTAAGAAACTTCTATTAAGACTCAGTATTATTTCTTTGTTTATTTTTTGAGATGTTTTACCACAGTACCTTTGCCGCTGACAAAATGCTGTATCTTCTAGAAGACCATCCCAACTTTAATTTTTCTCTGGCTCTTTGTCAACATCTTCATTTAGATACTTATATTTAGATATTTCAATCTTGAGCTGAATCTTTCAATATAATTCTCAGGCAATTATCCATATTACTTAATTATTTTCAACAATATCTAAAAAGAAAGCTTCTAATGCCCTTATACTGGTTTCATCTTGTGAAAGATTCTCTTTAGCTTCTGAGAGAACATCAGAATTGTTCCACCCATCTCACTGAAAATGAAAATTTTCCCATAGCAGAGCTAAGAGAAATAATGTTCCAACTCCCGTGTGTTTGAAAAGTATCCTTGAAGGGGAGTCTTTCTCAGACATATAATCCTAGCTAAAATTGATTAAATTCTCATTCTGACAGTCATCATGGTCAGAATTTCTTCTAAATTCCATAATCCTAGCTATAATAAATTCAGTATTTGAGCTGAATGAATCCAAATCACCCACTTGGCAGCCACCTGTCATCTACTTGAGTAAAGCATTTGCTTCTTGTAGTGTCTTTAATGTTTCCCCTGCTGTGTTAAGAATATAATTCAATTTTGCAACCTAGTTTGGTTCTGCTGCACTTAAAGGAAGTGCTGTGCCACAGCCCATGGTAGTGTTTTATTGTACCTATTCAGAAAAAAAATATATTTTCATAATAGGTGTCATATCTTCTGTATATAAATCATTTTTATGGCTGATTATTCCTATTTAACTTCATTCTTCTAAGTCTGTGACCATTTTGCAGGAGATGTATGAGACAGGAGATAAATTTGGATTATTTCCTAGACCTTACTTCTGCAAGGCTACAAAGTCTGCACTGGTGGATGCCAAATGTAATCTGGATTTTTATATCTCAGAAATAACATCTTCAGACCTTTCCAAGGTCCCTTCCCCTCTCTGTGTCCAGGGAATGACAAAGCTCTGAAGATCTCTAGGAAAACCTAAAGCATGATCCAAGCAGTGTGAGCGGCTCCAATGCAGATTTTTACCTTTAGTCAAATAAAAATAATCTACAACAAACGTGGCAGTTTATTTCATGTTGTGACAAATACTGGTCATATGAGCTCTGCTGCAGCTGAGGACTCCTCAAAAAACGTCCTCTCTACTTCCATCACAAAAAGAGGCTGAAGGTGCTAAGTCAAAGAAAAAAGCATATTGGGTAGAAGATTTTTGGTTTTAATGAGTTTATAAACATTATTTCTCTAGTGCACATCCCTTTTTTAAATCCCAGTTTGTCAGAGGACTTCTCATGCCCAGTTATTTCCTTCAGCTAAAGATCAATGAGCAGCAGTAACCAGTTCAGTGTGGGTAAATGTCCTTGTCCTTTCCAAAAACACAACTCTGAGGGTTCCTTAACACCTGTGAATTTCAACAAGAAGGCTGAGAACTTTAGTCAGGCTGCCACACAAATTATTCTGGGTTTCTGTTTTCTGAGACACCAAATCTTAGAGAAAGGAATGAAGGGTGACTTGCACTGGCCGTGATTAGAAGAGTCTTTGGAGCCTTTTGGATTCAGAAAAAAAAACAAAACAGAGAGGAAAATGGGCATTTTAGCACTGTATTATAAATTCATTTTATAGGTCTGTTCTCTGACAGCTCTATCAGCTGAGTTTTGCTTAGATTTTCATTAAAATATAAATGACAAAGAGAAATAATTATTATTAAACCTTTAAGGCCAAGGATATCAGTTTCATTCCCTGAATAACAGTTTTACAAAATATGTTAATAAAATTCATAATATCATAAGAGTTTGGGGTAACATTATGATATATTTTTATTCATTTATCCTTCTCAAAAAATAGGAAATTATGCAAATCCAGTTGTGCTGAGATGCAATACTGAAGTACAGTGCATTGTGATGTGGTCAGTCCTTCCACTGACAGTCTCTCAGATTCCTTGTCATCTGGTAGTTCTAATGAAAACAAAAGTCCCAATACCTGGTTTTATGCAGTTCAATATTAGTTAGATCTTGATAGGCTTATTAGGGCTAAAAAATCTCAATAATTTTTATTAACTGTGTGACTATTTTTCATATTAACACATGATTATTTATTAATAATCAGTAGTTCATAGTTAAAATAGTTAAATATCCAATAGTTTACTCAACCTGATGATCAGTGTTGTTTTTGTATGTTGTTTTTATCATTCACTGGAAAGACAGATTGATTCTTTTCCCTTGCCCTCTGTTAATGTTTCTATACTTCTTTTATAATGGAATTATAACTGCTAATTAAACATCCTCAGAAAGAAAAAAATTCTTGAAATATACTGATTTTGATGAAATGTCCTTTGCTTTCAAACACCTGATATTTTTATATTTTTATAATTTTTTATATTTTTCCAGCAAGTAAAAGCTTCACTATAATGTATATTTCAAAAGGCATATTTATCTCATGCTGGATATAATTTTTATAGTGCAAGTATTGTAACATTTTATTGTCATTTTTATATCTTCTTGTTATCTTGTTATATTATCTTCTGCTGTCTTCCTAACCAGAGGCAGATCCTGCTGTCCTATGAGGTCTCAGTGGATGCTATCAATGATCCTGTCCGAAGGCAGAGGTTAATGAGTGCAGCCACAATTCTTACAGATAATTCAAGTAAGTCATTCTTTCCTCTTTTTCCTGTGGTGACTGTGTAACTCAACCTGAGAGATCAAACTATCACAAACACCATTATTTTAAAAGCAACTAGGGGAAATTATGCTGCCAAATGTGAATTTCAGTAAAAGAAATATTCCCATAACTCATGTAACTCACAATTACCAAGGGTAAATTTTGCCTGACCTTTATAAGTTTCTGATTAGTTTGTGCAGAATGAGCTAAACAATTTTTTTCAATGATGCCATTCTGCTCATGTGAGATTGACTTTTCAATCTTTTCATTGAATAATTGTCTTTTTCTTCATTCTGTGATATTCTAAAAAGGATTATTCATATGTCACTTTCCCTCTTTGTCTGACAGAATCAAAACTGAACTGTCCTACATTTTGGAAAAATTTCCCTCAAAAGTATCTAATTTGGAATTGCTGTCCATTCTGGAGAGCAGTCAAAGGGAAGATGAAATTGGTAATTTTGAATCCATTTGTTGATCTCTTAATCATGGTTTGCATTATCTTGAATACCTTGTTCCTGGCTATGGAGTACCCTGGCATGCAACCACATTACCAAGAACTGATTTCTCTAAGTGACAAGGTAATTTAAGTCTATATTAGAGTGAAAATGGAGTTATAACCCTGTATTTATACTTGGACACTCCCATAAAGAGACAGACTTTTTCAGTGACTTTTTTTCTGAATTTCATTTTTGTCTTTCCAGGTCTTCACCCTGATTTTTACTGTAGAAATGATCTTGAAAATCATTGCTCTAGATCCTTACTACTATTTCCAGGACAAGTGGAATGTTTTTGATAGTGTGGTTGTTTTGATTGGCCTAGCGAGCTTTAGAACAAATCTGTCACCTTTCAGGCTGGTAATTATTTATTTATAAAAAAAATATATTTTTAAAAGTACATGTGTTGTACAATGAAATACCCTCATATGATTTTACTGATGAATATGTTAAATCTGTTTTCTTTATTGGTAAGTAGTAAGACAACCTGAGCTTTTAATTGGAGTGATTTTAATTTCATCAAAACAATTAAAAGGCTTTCTTGGAGGAAAAAAAATACTGATAATACTGCAGTAAAGGCATTATGGTAAGCGTGAGGTCTGGCTTTCTTGTGTGCTGTGCTCTTTTGGCTGTTCTAACTTTTTTTTTCCTTGTGTTTCATTACAGCTCAGGATCTTCAAATTGGCAAAGTCCTGGCCAGCCTTAAATACTCTTATGAAAATAATTCTACACTCATTTGGTGCACTGAGTAACCTCACTCTGGTTTTGGCAATCACTATATTTATTTTTGCTGTAGTAGGAATGCAGATTTTGGGCAATGATTATCTCTTAAACTCTATAAAAATAAACCCCCATGGCGAATTACGCTGGCATATGATAGATTTTAGTCATTCAATCCTCATTATATTCCGAATATTATGTGGAGAATGGATTGAAACTATGTGGGAATGCATGGAAGTGGCTGGAAAAAGGAAATGTCTCATCATTTTCTTGCTTGTCCTGGTGCTAGGAAATCTGGTGGTGAGTTTCAAGTCAATTTTCAGTCCCTATTGAATGCATCCAGTTACTTTTTTCTTTGGAAGATAAACCTTACTGTTTGAAAAGTATTCACTTTATTCTCTTTTCTGGGTGTCACTTGAAATATGGTTTTGTTCTGTCTCCTTTTTTCCCTTTTCCCTTTTATTTCTCTTTTTCACACAAGACATAGAAGCAAAATAAAATTATTCCTTCTAGCCAGGAAAGTTTGGAAGTGCAGAGCTTATCATAATTTGGTGTCAGATGTCTTCATCTTTTGTGTTGGTGGGACCAAATAACCAAAGTGTTGAGTGCCTTTAATGCTTGACATGTTGCCCCTATGTAATAAAAATTTACAGAACCCAGATTTTTATTCTAGATCTAATGTAAATTTACTGGCAGATGAAATCTTTTTCATCTGCTTGGTTTATTGGTCTATACCAGATCCTTTTTGATGGTGATAAAATTAAAATCCATCTTTGCATGCTGTTTTTCTACATGTCTGCCTCCTTATACACTATGGACTTCTAAGAATGTGAAAATATATTTTATATACCCAAACTCTCACTTCCCTCCTTTTTTTCTCCTGCCAGTCCTTCCAGAAGGAGCCGTATCATGCTATAACAATATTCCAGTGTATTAGTAAATAATTTTATTATTTATTAGTGGTTAATGAAAGTGAGTTTGAGGGTCTCTGAAGTGTCTCTTCTGTTAGCAATAGTGTCTCCAACTTACTTTATTTTAAGGTGCTCAACCTGTTCATTGCTTTGCTGCTGAGTTCATTCAACCTTGATGGCACAGAGGGACAAGAGGAGGCTGGAGAAGGGTCTAAATACCAGATTGCCATTGCACAGATTCACAAGAGCCTGAAGGCTGTGAAAGACAGAATTTGGGATCACTGCTGCAAAAGAATGAGGGGAAGCCTCAGAAGAGCAGACAAAAAGAAGACTTTGGCAGAAGTTTCTGGGAAGGGCATAGAGGTTACTAATTATGCCATGACAGATGTCAGGAAATACATAGACAAGGGCTCCTTTGATATAGAGCATTGCCATATGGATGAGAGTTCCTCACTGGCAAGGAAATATGAAGAAATTTTGACCAGCCACAGTACCTGTGTTCCCATTGCAGCAGCAGAAGGTGATGATGGGCACATTTTGCACACAGCTGCAGAATGCAGGAAACAGGTAAGGAATATTGATGTTTGAAAAATGATTGTATCTTGCATCTGTAAATACAATCTCGAAGACTCATCAGTAAATATTATCCTTTCTGTCATTTCTGCAATTTTACTTTCTTTGTTCTTCTAGTACAAGGGCTATCAAATAGTCTTGGTTATTTAATGATATGTTGAATATTTACTTTTTAATCATTCTCCTCAGTGACAGATAAAATTCTGCTTCTGGCTGTTTTGTTTCCATTTATTACTCTAAGTTGATAAACAAAGTTCAATCTAGACAGCCATTCTTTCTTTTTGTCTCCTTTGCCTTACACCAGAATTTTTTGGAAGGCAGGGCTCTCATGTTGATTATATGTTGCACCTCAGTTTCATAGAATCCAAAGGGAATGTAAACAAAAGCTATACCTTAAAAAAGCAATTCTTTTTTCTTTTATTGTTTGGGGTTTTTAAATCACCTCCATGGTACTTTTGACTACCCTTTATATCTCTTTATTTTGTTGTGTTGGGCAGGATACAGCTCAAATCTTTCTGCATGTGAGTGAGACATTTTTACTGCCACGACAACTGTACAGAGGCATTTAGGAATATTTGAGATATTTCAGGTGTCTGTCACATCCACACAGGATTGTCAAATATGACACAGGAGCTATAGGAACTGTTTTCACAGAATCACAGAACTGTTAGGGTTGGAGGGAACTTTTTTTTGGATGGATGAACACATGGTCAGTGTCTAGGTGGATTGCCAGGATCCATTTTGTATGGTTTTGGTCATATTAGGAAGCATTATCAGTGCAGTCTCTTTGGACAAATTCTCAAAGAAGAAAAAATTGCTGATCACCTTAGGATCATCCGTGGCTCTTTCAAATGTCCTGCCCATAAGAATTTGATGTCAGAAATTCATTCCCTGCTGCAGTGGAGTTTGGTATTTCTTGGAATTTGTAGTGTCAGAAGGGCTGAGGACTGATTCTGATCACTTAGATCTTCTGCCTATAACTGGAAGCATAAATCTTTTACAAGCATTTTAGGAAAATTATTTAATTATTTGTATAAAGAAAAGCTTGCTAGTGAAAGATTATCTTCTCATGGCAGAGGGGGTTGAACCTACATGATCTTTAAGTCGTTTTCCAAACCAAACACCCAAATCATTCTGTGATTATATGAGTCTAAACTTAATGGAAGTTTTACATTCTGGTAAATAATTTTGCCTTTCAAGAATGACTGTCAGGAAAAAAATAAGTGGAAAATCAACTGATTTGCATCATTTCATGCAGGGAGACAAATTAAAAAACAGAGAACAGTGGCAGAATTCAAACAGCTTCAATCAGAGTTCTGGGACTTCTGAAACTGCAAATGTTTTCACAGTAACACACCCAAAGAAAGATCAAAAAGAGGTAATTATAACTTCTATCATTTTGTGGTATATGCTGGGCCTTCCCCTCTTCAAGCATTTTGAGACATGATTTGTATATCTAAAAATTGATTGGCCTGAAGAAATCAGAATTTTCTCTAAAACTGTAGCAGATATAATCTTTTCTAAACATTTCCTTCCCTTCGAGCCCACTCTAGATAATGAAAAGAAGCAAAGAAATTGGTTAAATTAAAGTGATGGAAACAAAAAGTAGCAATTGGCTATTTCTGTCCTATTATTTAAAATTTCTTTTCGTAGTTCAGCAACATAAAAATAATTTACACACTGCAAATTTCTTTTGGGGAGGGAGAGGATGATAATTTTCATTTATTTTAGGTTTGTTAACTGTATTAATGAAAAGCAAATAAATTCTTTTCTTACTCCTTCTCCTCCGCAGAAATATCATTCTGTTCGTAGCTTTTCTGAAGCCAGCACTGTGGATCCAGTTGTTCTTCTGGAAATGTTTTCCCAGACTAAAAACTCACAGCTGCCTAAGGACTGCTTTCTAGAAAGTAGGAATCCTTTGGGTTTTTTTGGTATTTCACTAATGCTAAATGAACCAGTGTCCAAAAAAAATCCCTTTGGAGCATGTCCAGATTAGCAGGAACTGTTTGTCTGCTCATCCCAGTGTGGATATCTGCCTTTGATCACCTGAACTTTTCCTCAGACTCTGTTGGTTTAATCCTGCTGCCTTTACAGATTAATGAAGAGTGCTTCTGGCACGCAGGGAAGAGAGTCCAGATGTAATGTCCCTGTAGTGCAATACAGTGAAATAATTAGTAAAAATAGTAATTTACTGACCTGCTAGCAAGGCAATATCCCTTTTCAAAACAAAAAAAAGGGGGGAAATGCAGAAAATAAACACATTTTTAGATAGAAGTAAAGGCTTCTTTTGTGCCCACAGACCTTTCTGCAGAAAGACACAAAAAGATGTCTGTTATTCCATAGATGTGTTGCTTTATTAAAAGAGATTATTTTGGCTTAAAAATTTTTACTTTTCTTTAGCTTCAGATCATTTCAGTAACAGCATCACCTTATAGATAAAAGAGCGCATTCTTCCTGTAATATGTAAAAAACCTTTTTTAGATGCTTTATACTTTTTAAATCAATTTCTCAACATTTTCCATTAAACCAATACACTGTTCTCTCTCTTTTCAGGTTGTGTTGAGTGTTTCCCATGTTGTGTAGTGGATATCACAAAGTTTCCAGGCAAAACTTGGTGGAACTTTAGAAAAACCTGCTACAAAATTGTGAACCATAGCGGGTTTGAATATTTTATGGTTTTTATGATTGTATTGAGCAGTGCAGCACTGGTAAATTTAATTTAATTTCTCCACATTTAAATTAATTGTTGTCAGTAAAGGAATAATATTGAATTGATTTCTTCTGCTATGACATTCCTTTGCCCAAGGAGAGACAGAAGTGTAATAAATATAACCTTTAGAAGATATAATGCTTTCCTCCACTTGGATAAGATATTTACATAGGTGGATTTACACATATGGAGTCATAGTTCTTCATTGAACATAGTTCTTTACACTTTTGTGTTAATTAAAAGCTAAACCAGAGTGTGATATTGCTTGGGAAAGCTTGATAAAAATCATGGCACTTCTAAATTTGTAAAGCAAACTAGCTACTCAGTAAAAATGTAGATTGAAAATCATCCAAACATTATGATCAGAAGCTAAAAGTGAAGATGGCTGTAAATTGGTAGGTGAGGTAATGTTTCATTGCTACTCTGATCATATCCATTTCTATTGAAGGAATGGCACTGAAAGAATTATTTATTTGTTTATTTGAAAGTACATTCACTGTCTACTGAGAGTAACTTGTTAAATAAAATATTATCTAATGCAGAAGGAACATCTATGTGGTGTATGTCAGAATTTCCAACAAAAGTCACTACATTACATTCAAGTTGTTCTCTGAACAGTAGATTTGAACTCTCTGCTTTAAAATTCTCCTGACAAACCTCCAAGGGAACTTCCTCACCTCCAGTGAAGGCTCCTCTGTGTTCATGGGGAACCAAACTGAAGTAAGGAAGGAAACGGAGTCATTTTTAATGTCCTGTTGAAAAAAAATTAGTTGGTACCCAGGTGCAAAATAACAAAACAATAACATTTTCTGGTCATCAAAGATGATTTGCAGTGTTGAGAACTTTCCCATTTCTAAGATAGACTTGTCCTTTGCAGAAAGGGACTTGTCTATTTTTTTGCTTATTTTTAAAATTTACTGATATGAAATTTTCTGAATGAGTATGAATAGCACCAGACCATCACACGTGTCCATGGTTTGTAGTGAAATTAAATGAGATGGTGATCACAGAAAGAATACTCAGTAAAGTAGGGTAGAAGTGGATGAAAGGAAAATTGCAGACATTGCAAAAGGCTTGGTGAGGAAATAATGCAAGGTGCTAAAAGCAATTGGGAATAGATTGGCAATATAAAAAAATCAAAATAAATTAGCAAGACAGAAAATACTTTAAACATGAGCAAACACTGATATGAATGATAGCAATCAGTGAAACATTTTCCTAAAATCTCAAGATCAAGGTTTAGATGAAAAAATGTGCAACTTCAAGAATGGGAGTTCCAGTTGAGGTGTTTGCCACATTTTTCCATGTCTGTATTACAACTCTGCAGATGACTCATTTGGAAGGTCAGAGTCTGACAGACACTGGTTAATGTATTCAATTCAGGCTTTTTTGTGAAGAATTTTAGATCAACCCCTTCAAAATTGTCAACTACCTTGGGAAGCCAAAATTTTTTAGCCACAACTGGCCCTCATCAGACATTTTTTGAAGTGTTGAACATAAAAACTTGAAAGTATGAGATTTTTCAATCAATGTGAAAATGAGATTGTACTTATTTTAAAATTTACCTTTTTACTTTTAAGTATAAAAATAAGTGGTGGTTGTCCATAATTTAATATGAAATGGTTATAATAAGCCAAAGTATTTATTCTTGTGCAATTCAAAAATAATCTCCCATAATATATTGACCTGTTTTAAAACTGAATTCTGAAATTCCAGGCATTTGAAGATGTTCACCTGCAAAAGAGGGAAAAAGTGAAAATTATCCTAGATTATGCTGATATCATATTTACCTACACCTTTTTTATGGAGATGCTTCTGAAATGGGTAGCTTTTGGTTTGCACAGTTATTTCACAAATTCTTGGTGTTTGCTTGACTTCATCATTGTTTGTGTAAGTATTATACTCAGCTTGTCATACATTTTAATTTTTGATGTTTTCTATATAGAGAACTACCTGTAAATTATGATTATGAATTAATAATACAAGTCTTAAAGACAGTTTCCAAAGGTTAAAAAACCTTCAATGCAAAAGAGGCTTTAGGACTTTAAATGGAAATTTTCAGCAATAATCAAGAAGTTGCTGAAGGAAATTTCATTAGGTATCACCATCATCGAGGACCATAATGGTTCTAAAGGCCTTTTCAATTGTAGAGATAGAGTTCAATTAGTGATTGGAAATAAAATTAAAATAAATTGATTAAGACAATAGAAAATGTGAAGATACTGACAGTTCTGGACTAGATGATTTTAAAGGTTTTTTCCAACCCAAGCCAAATCTGTGATTTTGGCAGTTAGAAAAAAGGAAAGAGTTCCTTCCTTGAAGGAGAAGAAATTTAAATGGCAAAAACACCTGAAAAGCATGGCTGGAAAAATAATTTATCGGGGAGTTAAAGATAGGGAGGTATCTTTTGCTTTGCACAGCCCCAGAGAGAAATGCTGGAATCACCAAGAGTGAGATAAGGGCAGTGTTCAATACATATACATTTGCTCTGAATGTAGAAAATGTTAAATATGATAAACTTGCTGTATAAAAATGAAACATTTTTCTTGTCAACATCACACTGGGACTGTTCTGAAGTTAAATATTTTTAAGTAAGGATATCTAAACTGCTGACTTGTGACATCAGAGTAGCTTTTAATAGAGTCAGGATAGTCAGCATTGAAAGTTGTGAAGTACTCAGAAATTTCAACTGAAAAATCTAATATTATGACTATTCGTAAAGAATAGTTGAGCAGTTATGGTTTTCTAATGTAAATAGCAGTCCAAAACTGAGGATAAGCATGGAAATATCCAATGGCTGAACACTGAGGCAGCAAATTCAAATGAGAAGGAGGAGACAAATCATGAACAGTGAAAAAACCTAATTATTGAAATTAATTTTAATATCTTCATTTTTCTCTTAGAAATATCTAAAATGAACCAGATATATTTAATTTTTTTTTCCACATCCCCATTGTCAGTTATGATAATAAATTTCTATGTACACTTCTGAGAATAACTATGTAGAAAATTGGAGTATTTTATCTGAATAAACCTTTCTGGTTTGGTAGTGTATGGAAGTATCATAGTTACCAATTTGATTGTTATACTAGTATTAAACAAAATCATATTAACTGTTTTTTAAAAAATCAAATTAGAATTAATTCAATTTTTTTATGTGTTAGAAAAGAATAAAGTATAATTATATTGTGGTAACTTTAAATGTCTATTTTCTTCATTTGACTTAGTGAGGAAATAACATGTAACATTCATCTCAGGATTGTCTACTAATATAGATAAAATAAAATTTTGTATGCCATTTTAATGATCCCAGTTCCAATTCAATGAACACAGCTGTCCTTTGTTTCCTGGGGACGAAATTCTGTTTCTGGAAATTCCACAACTTGTTCCTCTGGGACCAGTCTGAAATCTCTCAGGACTTTTAGGGCGCTGCGGCCTCTACGAGCTTTGTCAAGATTTGAAGGGATAAAGGTAAAGATATGGGGGAGGGGTCTGGGTTTTTATATGGGTGAGAATTTTCAATAGATACAGAAAAAGTAAAAGTCAGTGGCTTTCTGGGAAAAGTGATCTACTGAATGCAAATAATTAATTATTTTCAATCATTTCATTCAGGTTGTTGTGAATGCACTCTTTGGAGCCATCCCCTCCATCTTCAACGTTTTGCTCGTCTGCATTTTCTTTTGGCTCCTCTTTAATGTTCTAGGAGTAAAATGGCTTGGAAGCAGATTTTGGAAGTGCACATTTAAAAAAGAAAGTATTGGTTGCATTCATGGCAAAAATGATTGTATTTCCAACGATGGGACATGGACAAATAGTGTTGTAAATTTTGACAATGTTGGCATGGGATACTTGGCTCTTCTCCAAGTGGTAAGTTCTATAAAGACATGCTCATTTTTGTTTTCCTCAAGGAATGGGTTGAGCAGCCCAATCAAGGCACACCACTATGGTTCTGTTCATCTCACTGAAATTGGGGATTTTTTTTTAGCTCCTATTAATATTCTCCTCATCTATGAGCTGCCCACCTTCTCTTAAAGAACACTTACGCTCATGCAGCCTTTTGTTAAAATCAAGAACTCTTTCACAGCTTTTCAATCTTGTTTTAAATTTCACTTCTGTTTTAATTTTAATCGACAAACTAAGCCTGAAATAGTCTGCCTGTCACTGTATTTAAAGTCATTCTCGTTTTCTCTAGTTCAGAGTGGACAAGAAAAGAACTTATGGACCAATTTATTTAGAATTCTATGTCTTCTTCTGTTGTAAAAGTCCTGAAGTGTTGGGATGCTAATTCACTGAGCTCACTAATACCACAACAAAGGAGAGAAAGTAATTTTTAAAAAGTCTCTGTTATCCCTGTATATTTTCTAGATGAAGTTCTTTGCTCTGGATCCTCCAAAATGTTCTATGATTGATAAAAATTGAAGGATGAAACAGTCTGCTGTTCTGTTAGAAGTTTTTTTTTTCCTTTTAAATTATATTTGCTAGTTAAATTATATTTGCTGAAACTTGTAGTGTTCTTTTGTTTTTACAAAAAATTCAATTTAACAAGAGTTAGCATTAAAGCATTTGACATGAATAATAACTTTTGTTTTCTTTTCAGTATTTTTTTTTCTCTGTAATAAACTCCAGTGGATCATACTTCCAAGCATATCTTAGAATTGATGCATATTTTTTACAGCACACTTCTTATTTTTTCCACAACTATTAACACATTTATATTATCAATAGCTATTTTTTTCTCAGTTATAATAAACAATGCACTTTCTTTCAGGCAACTTTTAAAGGTTGGATGGATATTATGTATGCAGCAGTGGATTCACGTGGGGTATGTCACTGAAATGAAACTTTAGTTCTTTTCCCCTTCCTTCTTCCCTTTCCTATCAATACAGTCAATTTTCCAGCTTTGTTTGCAGCATCAGGTCAAAAATACAAGTGAATGGATGCATCCAGCTACACAGTGAAACAATAATCCTTGGAGTACCAAATATCTGAAACTTAGATAAAGTAAACTGGTCACAATAGAGGGATACCACACAAAAAGTGGGCAAGACAATATACAATTTTGTACAAATCTGATTTGGGAGCCAAATATGACTGTGCCTCTGAAGCAAATTCTCTTCCTTTTAAAACATGTGCAGTAGAACTGAAACAGCCTGCAGCTTTATCAGTTATTTGAGGTTTTCTTCCCTACATTTGACACCCTCACTATTTCTTTCCCATTTGCATGTCCTGTTTCTCACTCTCATACTAGCACAGTGAGTCTGAACTTTTCTATATTTAGTTGACTCTGCATTTTTCCCCATCCATTCCATCCCAGTACTCTTGGCTGTAGTTAAATAGCTGCTAAATAACAATATTGTTCCTTGTACAGCTGGATTAAATTGCTTCTTGTCTGGGATGGCATCTCAAAGGATGGAATTCACCATTAGGTTCAGTCTGAGCTGCTTTTCTAATCAGGGCATTCACAGGATCCCTTCTAATTGGAACTAAACAAAATGTTTATTTATTACTAAAAAAATTGCTAGAGCAGGATTTGGCTTTTTTTTTCATTGTCTTTACAAACAGTAACAAGATAGAGCAAGACAGTTCTACTTGTACATTTAGATAAAGGAGTAAATGTGCAGAAATAATTTATCCTTCATGACAATAGAAAGATCTGCTATAATAACTTGGAAATGCTAAAGCTGAGATTATCTCGTTTTTACCAATATTATTTTTCTGGTTTAATTTTTTTTTAACAGATTGATGAACAGCCACAGTTTGAAGCAAACTTACGCATGTATGCATTCTTTGTGGTTTTCATTATTTTTGGATCTTTCTTCATGCTGAACCTTTTCATTGGAGTGGTTATCAGCAATTTTAACCAGCAAAGGAAAAAGATAAGTACTGCATGAGCTAACCCATGGTCTCCTGTAATCCCAATTTGATTAAGTGAATGTTGGCTTGACATCTAGAGGTCTAACATTTTGAAATAAGTGTCTGACTAGATAAAATTAAAATAATAACATTTCAAACCAAGTTTTGAAAACAGGAATCCCTTCTTCCTCAAGGTTTTTAACTGTGAATTCTATTTTCCTGCCAAGTCCTGAATTTGTTCTAAGTAGAGGATGAGGAGGAAGGAGTGAGTAGCTTTAGAAATGAGAAGTCAAAAAAGTTATTTAGACTTTGCTACAGGAGAGTGGAATTCTTTTCTTCTGCTTTGAAGATTTGCTTTGGGGAACAGAAAAACCCTTTTTCTGAGAGCGAGCACCTCACAAATGTGAGCAGGGTAGTCAGTCAAGGAAGGAGTAACCTCTGCTTTCCTGGCATCCTTGAGAAGGTCCTGTCCATAGAATGTCTTGTCAAACTAGCTACACTTTAAAAAGCCATTTATCTACAAAATAAATCTACAGCTTAATTTAGTGAGGTTTTAAAAAAATTCTGAATAGGGATCCAAGCCATGACCCCACGAGGAGACTGTGTAGAAATTTAAAGGCTGCTTAAAGCCCATGAAGCAATGACTTCATGCTTCAAGCACCTTTCTCCTCATAGTTGTTATATTCCCTGTTCTTGTTATTCAGTAAGAAATGGAAGGCAAAATCTTTGAATGGACAATGCATCAAAGAAAAGCAACATCTGTCTGGAATACTTCACCTTCCTTGTGCCAAGCTTATTTATCAATGAGTCCTGACTCATTTAAGGGTTTAAAGTATCCAGAATATCGAGGGAAATTGTGTCAATTTATCCACTTGGAAGTCTTGCAAGAAATAAGCATCTTGCTAATTGAAAACATACCAGGAAAGCAGACCCCAACAGGAGGTTTACAATTTCAAGGTTCCCATTTGGAAGGCAGAATTTCTACTGGAATCATTTATTATTTTTATAGGCTGAGTTACACTCCAAGTGTCAAAGCATTACTGCCTTTGGTAGAGAAAGATAGAAACAAAACCCACAATAAATTATTCTGTTCTCTGAATTTGGACAGAGAAAAGATGTATAAGGATTGAGGAACAGTGGTCCAACTTCATTGTAAGAATTTCTTTTTATAACAAAATCCCAGTTACAATAATCCAAATAGATAAAAAAGTAAAGTAGTTTATAAGCTTGAATATTTGCTAGAAGTTTATGTAGATGTAACACTTTTTTTCTTTTCTTAGCACATGCTGTAACTGACATTTTTTCTTTTTCATTTTTGTCTTTCATTTCTTTTCTGCTTCTTTGGGCTTTTCCCTGAGAGTCCGTGTAGTGAAGTTAAGCAGAATTTTCAGAGGTTTTGCTGGAGTGATTCCAATTGCAGACCCCCTGCATTGTTATGTGTTTGTTGTACAAAATGCTGACAACTCAGTGCTTTTATGATGAGTGATTTCTGATTACTGGGTTCGAAGGGATTGCTCAGTAATACAGGTGGTGTGGATGCTAATAAGAAATTCATTGCCAGGAACTTCCCATAGAACTTGGTCCCAAAATTCTTATTCATCATCCTCTATTTACTTGCTAATTCAGCAATCTACTTCTGCTTCTGCCTTTCCAAAAAATATAAAATATTCCACTTCTTGATGAAACTTATGTAATTTTAAAAATAGGAAATAGATTTGCAAAACTTTGAAAAAGCTCTCACACTTGAGGGAACTGACTTGGGATCACTGCTTGGACTTGACTTTCATGACCAATCCAGATCAGATCAAAGATCAAGGGGAAAAGGAGAAATGGTGAAGACACATTTGGTCTCTGTGCTCTCTTAAGTCCCACTCATGACAACTGTAACTTACTGTCTTTAACATAAATTTACTGGCATTTATTTGACTGCATCTGAACTACAATGTTTTTTCTCTTTACTTAGGTGGGAAAGACCTATTTTTGACTGAGGAACAGAAAAAGTACTATAATGCCCTAAAAAAACTTGGATCCAAGAAACCCCAAAAACCCATCCCAAGACCATCGGTGAGGCCACCTTAAGAAGAATATGACAGAGGATATAAAGATTATTATATTTAAACTCAGTAGCCAGGAACTGGGAAATAAACCTTGCATTAGAGACCCACATCTTCCTCAGTCAATATAGAATTTAGATTTTACTCTCTTTTGTTTAAAAATTCCATCCAAAACAGTAATCTTTGAGGGTATTAATTAAGGAAATTTACAACCTATTTATCACCTACTCAAATGTGCAAACTTTTAAAACCAGTTCATATTAAGTATTTGATATTCATAACATGATCTTGGTTATTTAAGTTGCATGATGTTGCTTCTGCAACTAGATTGGATTATTGCAGGTGAGAATTAATAGAGAGCATTACATGCCTCGTGGCTGTTTTTTGTTTTTAAATAATCTTATGCTTTATTCCTTACATTTTCTTAAATTTAATTCCAGGCCTGGCTTTGCACAGCAACTGCTGAGTTTTTCCTGCTTATGACATTTTAATTAGAATTGCTTATCCTAAAATATCTGCTTCAATAAGTATTTCTATTAAAAGAGCAATCACAATGTACTCTGAATGTTTTCCTGCTATATATTTTTTTCTAAGCCAACGTGCTTGCATGATGCCTGAAAATACTGAAAGTATGGTGAGTTTTTTTTGAGTCTAAAGAAATCACCCCAAACTGCTTCTAGTAGCTTGTTGTTAATTTATGTTATGTTAAATTTCTTTTCTAAGCACAAATTACTGATTAATATTTGAATGCAGGCTGGGTCTCAGAAGTGGCATTAAGTAGTTCTCCTTTCCACAGAATGCATTCCTGGGATTGCTGTTTGACATCGTATCTCACAAAGCTTTTGACATCACCATTGTGATTTTCATCTGTCTAAATATGGTCGTTATGATGGCAGAAAACAATGACAGAGCCACCAAGGAGGTTCTGAATAAAATCAACTATTTTTTTGTGGCTGTATTCACTGCAGAATGTGTCATAAAAATACTGGCCTTAAGGCACTACTACTTTGGAAGCGGCTGGAACGTGTTTGATTTCAGTGTTGTGATCCTTTCAATAGTGAGTAAGTATCAATCACTAGGTCAGGTAAAGTGTCTCATCAGTATTAAGTCAAATTCCAGTTTGAAGTAACCACCTACATATGTTTGATAAACAAATTCCAGATCCATTGCACTATTTCAAACTAATCACTGCTAAGTGATTCCTTCTAAAAGGATGCATTTTAGTTTTCCCTTATATTTTTGCAGAGTACTAAAAGGTAAATGGAGTTTTCAAATTTTTAAGTATGATTTTTATTGAGGAATTAACAGAATATTAATTTAATTCAGTAATATATTTTAAAACTTATTATACTTAAACTGTTGTCTAATGTTTTATGCTTTCAATTTACATGTTGTCACATTAGCTGTTGTTTTCACAGTAAAAGAAAATTCAGGTTAAAAATACATTTACATCAAAAATGGGGATTAATTTACTTTTCCAGGACTTCCTCTTAAGAAGGCAAAGCGCAGTTGTAGATTTGGAAAGCTCAGGAAAATTTGATTGCTCAACACCATACTAAACCTAGACCACTACTTATGACTAAAAAAAATTATTAAAACTGGCTTGTATTTTTTTGGCTCTTTAAATAAGACTAGATGCTGATCATTGACTCTGCAAAGGGTCATATACAGCTCTAGTTTCTTATACCATTTATTTTGTCTGTTCTTTCTAGTCAGGCTCAGGTCATATCATATAATAAAGGATGGGAAAGAAAAACTGCTCTGAGTTCTTGGCTTCTTGCCTAAGCATGGTCACCTTTTGCCATCCTGTACAACCCAGAAAAATTGTGATTTCTTAACTCTCCTGTTCATAAACATTTGCATTGCTACTGTGATAGCAGGGTCATAGAATGAGGTGTTATGGAAGATAAACACTGAGAGACAATCTTCCTTTATTTTCTTCTTGCTCTTTGATCTCATTTGAGTACCAAGCATTAGTCAAAGCCTCACATTTAGGCTTTGGCCTAAAGAAGAAGCAGCACTCAGAAAGTGGCTCAGAGGCAGTCCCAGAGCTTCCAGCACAAGACCAGAATGGATTTAATAGGATTTTTAGGTTCTTGAGCAATGAATGCATAAATTCACTCCCCAAATTAGAGAAACTTGGAATAAGGAAGCTTCCAAACTATACAGAAATCTTGATACCTTTTTTATATTGAAAGATATTACAATTTTTCTTTCTTTACCTAAGCTTTTATCTGAGTTTCAGAACTGATGATGTTTATATTGAGAGCAGCGTGATGTGATCAGTGTTACTGCCGACACCTAAAGCACAGACTATAACAAAACAGACATTAATTTGACTAACTTGACCTGACAACATTTTGTTTTCCTTTTCTTTTCAAAGGTCTTGGAGTTTCTGAAGTGTTTAAATCTTTCTTCTCTCCTACGGTTTTGAGAACTCTTCGTTTGGCGCGGGTTGGCCGAATCCTGAGAATAGTTCGCAAAGCCAAAGGAATTCGAACTCTTCTTTTTGCACTGCTGATGTCTCTTCCTGCACTGGTCAACATTGGCCTTTTGCTTTTCCTGATTATGTTCATTTATGCCATCGTGGGCATGGCAAACTTTGCCTGTATCCCCTTTCAGGGTGGGATTGATGATATTTTCAACTTCCAAACATTTTGTGGTAGCATTCTCTGCCTCTTCCAAATTACCACATCAGCTGGTTGGGATGGTCTTCTGGCCCCTGTGCTAAAAGAATCTGATTTATGTGCTCAACAATTAAATGTCACAGAGCCAAACAAAAATAATTGCATAAATAAGGGCTTTGGTATTTTATATTTTGTAAGCTATGTCATTATATCGTTTCTCATTGTTGTAAATATGTACATAGCTGTCATTTTAGAGAACTTCAGTGTCGCCACTGAGGAAAGCGCAGATCCTCTTTGTGAGGATGACTTTGATATGTTTTATGAGACATGGGGAAAGTTTGACCCTCTGGCAACGCAGTTCATAGATTATTCTGCTCTTTCAGACTTTGCAGATGCACTGGCAGAGCCCTTGCGCATCCCAAAGCCTAATAAAATCCAGCTCATAGCCATGGACATCCCTATAGTCAGTGGAGATAAGATCCACTGCTTGGATATCTTGCTGGCTTTCACTAAAAGGGTCTTGGGAGAATCTGGAGATCTGGAGAGTCTTGAATTAAACATGGAAGAAAAGATTGCAGCTGAAAATCCATCTAAAAGTTGTTACAGCCCAATTTCTTCTACCCTTAGAAGAAAACAAGAGGAAGTGTCAGCTCTTGTTATTCAAAGGGCCTTCAGGAAGCATTTGAGACAACGTTCTCTTGAAAGTATGTCCTTAAACCATTGTAAACATAACAGTGCTGTCTTTGAACAAGAAATACAGGACAAGCAAAGTCTTCTTGAATCAGTGCTTAATGAAAATCATGGTAGGAAGGCAGATAAATTACGTCCTACTTCTTCCATATCCCTCCCTTTATTTTATGATGGTGTTGCTGAGACACACAGGAATAGGCTTAACACATGAGGTTGCCCCTGGCTGCAGCATTTTCAATTAAACCAATGTAACTTATTTTCAGACAGAGACCATGTTTTGATCCCACAAATGCTCTATATTTAGAATAATAGTGGCAGCCTTCAAGTATTGTAGTTGTTCAGATATGCCAATGCTCCTTAAAGCACTTAAGATTTTAACAACTATGACATAAATATTAGAGGAAAATCAAACCATGGAATTTTTTTCCTCAGCTACCAGAGTTGGCAAGTTAATTTTTTCAGCTGTCATTTTTATATTAGTTCACATGTTTACAGAAGAAGCCTGTAAAAGATCAGTTGTTAGCACTTATTTATAAACACACAAGGGTATAGAATAAGGTATATGTCTTTAGGGAGGAATAATTTTTCCAAACAGGCTTTATTATAGAAAAGTTAAGTAATAAATGCACTTCTGCAAAAGAGCTCACTCAAGACACTTGGGTATATTCAGCCTCTAATTTTGATGGTTTTGGGACCATCCTCCTCCTAATATCTTTGAATGGATTTGTTTATGTCTAAGAATTTTTGAGGTATCTTTATAGAAACACCTAAAGGGATTTAACAGATCATCCTGAAAGTTGTACGTAATTTGTTCTTTGTATTATTCAGTGTAGGAAAATTGTTGTAATCATAATTAAAATCAAAGAATGTTGTGCAAGAGGTACTGCTTCCAGAAAGGAATAATTGTACATAAAATCCCATCATTATACTTTTTCCCTTGAAAGTTCTACTTAGTAATCCGAAAAGAAATTCATGATGTGTCTTGTGAGGTAGAATTTATTAAATTTAGAGAAAGCATTTCATTGATTCTGAAAAAAATGTATGAACTATGTGTATTATTTTACATATTTTTTTTTTTATTTTGCAGTTTGGAATATGACTGATTTAGATTCTTCAATAAAGACTTCAGATGCTTAACATGTTTTTGTTTATTTTCTAAGAAGTCTCTTCAATTTCATTTATTGCAAGATAATCTGTTATTGAGGGCTAGAATAACAGTAATGTAGTTTTCCCAAAGTAGCTACCTATTAGCAAAAGAAAACTGAAACTATTTTGCTATTCACAGGAAATCAGAAAGAAATCACAGGATCAGAAAAGATTTAGCATTTTCAGGCCAAGAGTATAAAGAATAAAGGTAATGAAATTTTACTGTCACTTACCTTGTTAAAGACTATTAAAATAGGACAGATTTAGTCAAAACTAAGCTATTTTTGGGACACATAAAGGCACAGGCAAGCTAAGAGTTAAAGAGCTCAGATACAGTGTAGTCTGAACTAGATTTATTATAGTCAAACATTGGAACAGCCTGCCCAGGGACGTGGTGGAGTCCCTGTCCCTGGAACATTCAAGAAATGAGTGGTGGTGGCACTTGGTGCTGTGGCTAAATGAGCATGGAGGTGTTCAAAGGGTGGACTTGATGATCTTGGGGGTCTTTCCCAACCTTAATGATTCTGTGATTGCTTTCAGAACCAGCTTCTGGTCATAAAAAGAGATCTGCAGAGCTCTCAGGAGAACTCGGGGTCGGTGGAGGCAGAGATACCAGCTGGGTCCGGCTCCTGTCCAGCCTGGATTGTTGCATGCACAGTGATGAAACTATAAATTTTATTCATTGTGAGCTGGAATGAGCTCTGGAATGAACCAACAGCTTTGGTTCAACGATCAGGCTCCGTTAGATGGCAGCATTTACTTTGGTTTAGGATGTGGCCAGTCTTCAGTGAAACAGGTGAAACTCTCACACTTCAGCATACAGGTACTAAATTAATTCTAAATTTTTCAGAAGAAAAGTGTCACAAGTACTTTTTTCCAGTCCTGGGTATTCAAGTTAGCCATAGGTCTCAGTAAGTTCTTGTTTGCTGACTGCTCTGGTGTCTGATAGACCTTAGTGGTGGTGAAAAAAAATAAAATTGCTCTCCTGTGCTCAGACTTTCTAGAGGGATAGTTCAAGCATTTCTCTATGGCACTTTAGAAGGAAATGCTTCTTAGAGAAGAGGTAAGACTGCTTTGTTCTTGCATATTGGAAAAGAAGGAAAGACTGGAAAAGCCATGTAAGAGAATTTTAAACATTAATCACTCTGATCTTTGCCATTAAAAAATATTTGTTTGAATGCAACAGCAGGTTTTCTGCCCATACCTGGAAATACTTCAAAGATGAACACTTCATTTCTGCTGCAGGGGCAGAAATTTTGGACAAAATCACACCTGGCCTGAGCACATCCTTAGTGATTATGTCACCTCAGCAATGTACTGAATTCACCATGGGGCTAATTTAAAAGTCTGATTAATTCTTTAATATTGCTTAATCATTAAAATTACCTTAGCAAGCTGTTTCAGGGTTGGAAGGAGAATGGTGATATGCAGCTGCTGCAGCTTCTTCCTGCTGGATTTGTCCAAAAGCCAGTTCAGTTCCTGAAGCAATACAGATTTTATTTTATAAGTCTCTAGATGGTGATGAGTTAAAGCAGTGAACAGGTGTGAACTTTTGACAATTCTGGTAATCTAGAACTGTGAATTCCTCCAGGTAACACTGTCTGGATTTCTGCGTACTCTGTGAGAAATTCAGGAATATTTGGAACACAGAGGAAGAGTATTCCTTTCTGTTTGTGAAGTTAAATCAGAGAACATCAGAAACAAAGGAATATTGGATCCCTCCTGTGAGGAATTACTGGGAATGTAGAGCTCCCAGGGGATTTCTGAGGGTCAGCAGCAGAGAACAAACCAGAATTGCCTCCTTAGTGGTGGTGCAGATCTCTGTTTTACATTTCCATGTGTCACTGATCCTGTGTAGAAATAGAATGAAGCAGACCCCTGGAAAATAAGAGTTTCTTCCACTTTTGTGGTAGCACTGTGTCCCTGAGAGCAGGATCCCCAAAGGTTTTGTGGAAATTGTCCTTTTACTTTCTGGAGTTCCTCAGTTACTGTGATTCTATGACAGGTACCAGAAAGAGAATCTCATCCCTGAACCTGCCAGAGGTAATTGTGCTTGACAAGTGTGTCATCTGCACTGCCACTGTCCTTAACATTCTCTCTCACCATGAGAAATCCTCACAACTTAGGTGGTGCAGGAAGACATGCCAAAAAATGCTTTTATAATTCATGTTTAGAGTGAATATTCCCACAAGCTGAGCACACCAAACAACCTGAGCAGCTTTAGGCAAAGCTCAGGGTTATGGCTAGAAGTGGTGAGGAAGAGTTCTGTTGTGTTGGGACCAAGCAGAACAAATTATTCAATATTTATGGTAAAAATTTCCGTGATGCAGGATCTGTTTTTAAATAATTTCATTAGCCACCACCAGCTAAAAGCAAGCCTGACAGCAGCCAGATGCTTTTCAAACTTAAATATTATGGTTAAAGAGATATTTTAATAAACAACATGGGGGTTTATCAATTGATACTATTTGTATGTGCACTTCTAGTCTCTAGTCTAGGGCAAATTAACAAGAGATTTCTCACCTGCCCACCTCTGGAAATTAAATTGAGTCTTGTATGACATCTACAACATGTCAGATTTCTTTCTGCAAGTTTCTTCAGTACCCTCATTCATTAAATATATTTGGATGAAGGTACTGAGTGGTGTCAGAGCTAAATGTGGTGGCACAAGTTGTGACTCTTTGCTCTGCCAGTTCCAGGGAAAATATGTGAAGGCATCAACTTAGTAAGTGGTTTTATTGATCTTCAGACACTTTTGAAAGAGCAATAGAGATGTTTTGGCAGCTCCTCAGGAAAAAAATAGCTGTTTGGGCAAATCTGTTGCAGTTGCCTGCTTTGTGGTTCCATGGAGTTAAGGTAAGACAGGCCAAGGTGATTTTAGTGACAGTCCTTACCTTAATGCAGAGCTGTTGGAGTTCTGGGCAGACTGAGACCAATCGAAGCTTCCTCTCCAGTTTCCAGGGAAGCTGGTTTTATGCAGGAGCATTCCAAAGTTAGATACCATAGGTTAGATTTCACATAACAGCCACACTACCTTGCTGCCCAAACATTGGGTAGAATTTGTCCTTAGGGACAATTTAAAGTGGTCACCAGAAAGAGCAGCTCTTTCCTAAGTTTTCTTTTATATATTCATACCTTTCTTGAAATGAAGAGGGTAGAACTGGAGGTAGTATTTTAGTGATGCTACAAATCTCAGCAGTTTCTGCTGAATTCATCAGCCAAGATTTCATACCTAACTCCAATTATCTATTTTTTGTGCTTGTGACTGAAGTAATAACACAGACATGATGAGGCAGATAAAAAGCCATTCTTGTGTTCTTCACTTGGTATATTTTTGCTGCTGCTACAGTGAAGCCTGTAACTGCTGCAGCCAGAAATCTCTGTTTGCCTGAGAAGACATATTCTCCAACATCTGTGCACAGAATTTCACCAAAATATTTCCAGTTGTGCCTTCCCCCAACCCCATCCTGAACAGAGAGAACAGAAAATTTCTCCCCCTTTCAATGAGATAACAGTAATGCTTCAATGGAAACAGCAGCAACAGGATTCCACCACAGAATCTTCAGAGAATGACATTTCCTTCCTAAACATACATGGTGCCCATCACTCATTTATCAGGCTCTCTGACACCCCATTCAATAAAACACTTGTGCTTATGTCCATTGCACTTATCTTCCTCCTACAAATTATTTTGTCTGCCAGCTCTGCACAAGACAAATCCTATGGCTGCCAGAACATCAAATGTGATGGGTAGTAGTTAATGTCCCTTACTTTCCTAAATGGGGGCTCACCCCTTAACAAGCAGCCAATACTACAGACCTCCAAAAAATCCAGATAGGAAAGAGAGAATTAATGCACAAGATTGGGTAGAATCAGTGCAAGCTGCACTTTCTAATACACCTGGGAATTCACCAAAGAAAGCAATGGAGCTCACATAGGTATTGTGATTGAAATAATATGTTGCTGTATTTTGCTGAGTGTAACCTTATATTTGTATAGTGATTTTGTCATAAATGAGTGTTTTAGGTTGCCCAAAAAATCACTGGCAAAAGCAGGTTCAATATGAAACTGAAAGCATGATCAAGCTCATTAGCAAGGTTCTCTCTACTACTTATTAGGTGGTTAAAGCACACAGAGAAAATTTGGGCTAAAATCTAAAATCAATCAGTCTAAAACTAAAATCAGCCTAAAAGGACCTGTGTGGATGGAAAAAGAGTAAGGCTGGGAAAGAATAAGGATAAAAAGGAATAAGGGAAATCCTCCCATTGAGTCACAAGGTTCACAATGGCTCATCCTGCCAAACTTGACCAACAGTTTAGGCCTAAAGGTTTCAACAATATTTGAATTTAGCAGGGTTTAATTGATAAACTAATTTAAACAATTTAACAATAGAATTTGCTCTAAGCACAACAGTAACTCCCTCATGGGCCTACTCATTACTCTAATGAATCCAAGAGAGCACCATTCCTGTTACATTTCTGTCTCATATTCCCTCTCACACACACAAACCTAAAGGAGCTTGTGCAAGGAGAAAATTCCCACTCAGGTTCAGTGAGGTGCTCAGGGCAGATGCCTTTGCATCTCCCCAGTGGATGAAATGCTGAGCCTTGAGGAGTGGGAGTGTCAGCCCAGGCTCCATCATCAGCTTTCAGCAGCGATCCTCTGAGCACAGCAACCATGAGGGTTCACAAGCTCCAGAGGGAGCTCCAAGGGTCTCACTTTGGCTGCTGCTTATAGGGTTGCAAAAGGTTTGCCTTCAGTCATAATGATTTTCCACCCTGGACAAAATTTGGGTTGGTAACTTTTTTCGCAAGTCCAGCAGCAAACATGTTGTTCCACTTGGGCTGTTATCCAGGCAAGATAAATAAGTTTCCAAGGCTGTTGGTTAAAAAGCAAGAGCTCATTAGACAGCCCAAGTCCCTGGGAGCCCAGCAGTGTTCCTGATAAGCTCAGCCCAGGAGCTGTTCATCAAGGCTGAGCCCTAACGAGCA